CTTTTTTTTTCCCCCCTTGAAATGGAGGCTGTAAACTAGTCTCCACTATACAGGAAACACAAAGAAATGCCACAGTTTGCACCTTCTTTCATTCTGTGGCACAACTCTGACACCCAGTGGCCACAAGGGAAATACAGACACGGAACCAGTCCGGCTATTGCCAACAACTCCCAAGTGAGGCAGCCACACATCTCAGACCACGTTTAAGAAGTAGACTGTATCTGCGCCCTTTCAGACCTCACTAAAATGACACTTACCAACGGCAAGAAGAAGAATACTGGCGACAAAACAGCCCGCGCCTACACTGAGGTAATAAACACCAACACGCATTTCTGCTGGCCAGAGTGGGAACAGAGTTGCAGCTATAACAGCAATCACTAAATAGAAAGATAAGAAGAAAAGCATGAGAAGCACGATTAGTGTTTCCTGGTGTGTATCTAAAGGTTCTAGGCTTACCATCTATTCAAGGTATTGGCTTAACATAATATGAGTTACTGATAGCATTTTAGGCCTGGACTGAAACCTTGTCTAGTCCCACTGCGCCTGTTCTCATACCAGGTAGACAGACACCATGTTCAGCAACTCTGAGTGGCAGTGCTTTGTCAACAGAGCAAAGAGAGCACCTCTGGCAGAGGGCACAAACAAGGAGGTGAGCAGGGAGCTGCCTTTAACCACTGCAGCAGGACACAAGCACAGGGAGCTCCGTGGAGATCATGGTGGCCCTAAGTATTGGCCAAAGGCCTGAACAGGGCCCCAAAGGATGACATGGATTCTCAGGAAAAGATGTTCTCTCAGGGCAAGGAAGCTGGAAGCCGGAAGCTACAGGTCAAGGGTGTTAGACCAGCACTACAATGATCTGTTAGCTCACTGGTCTCAATTAACATCAATACTAATTTAAATTAAAAAAAAAATTAACTGATTGGATATTTCTTACACAAATACAAATTCTAGGGTCAGAAAAATATCATTCATAGTTTAAAATAATTCCTTTAACATCTTTCACATTTTTATATAACAGAAATAAACAGCTTGCAAACTTGTGCAAGTTTAGACATTTGCTAAAGCATGTTTCAGGTTTTGTTTGTTTTAAACGTGTACCTCCTCCATCCTGAGATCAAAATTCATACAATACAATTGGTATCAAATCATGCTGAAACTGAAGTGCAAAAACCTTTGTCCAGAAAAAATACAAACCTCCCCAAGAACAGATGGGCCTGTTGATACTGTGCCTACTTTTACGACGTGCTCACTAATATCGACTCTTACTTACCAAGTACAAGTCCCATGGCAAAAGTTTTAAAGTGAACAGGGTCATAGATCCACACATAGACCTACAACAGAAATAATCAAGTTTATGCTTGGAAAACAAGTTCTCTGATCTAGCATTTCATGTATTCCTTCATCCAAATGCTTACAGCCATGCTAGAATAGTCGGTGCTGAATCGACGGCCCTGCGGTCAGTCTTGTATGAGAGCAAGGGGTTGCGGGTCATAGGCAGGGCTATACTTTGAACAAGACTTGAAACAGGTTTCTGCCAGTGAAAGGTGCAAAAGGAGACACAGCCAAGGAGCTGCATGCCTGCGTGCCCACACTGACTGCCTCAGCCACGGACTGATTACAATCTCAACCTCATGGCAGGAGGCCCGAGGACACCATGCTGCTGAGGAAGGACACAACACAGAGCTGGGCAGGGCTCTGGCTGTGCTAGAGGCTTCCATCTGGGAGGAGAAGGAAGGGAAGGAGTTTCCACACTGTGTAAGAAAAACAATGGAAATCTCAGACTGGATCTCTCAAGGAATTATTGCATGAAAGAAGCTGTCCCCAGAATAACTTACAGGGGACATAAGATCTTGGGGAAAACAATCAGACAGTAAAACTGATGGGGAAATGAAAGATTCAGAAATAACACTGAAACAAAGTCTGTTGTTATCTTTCTTTATTCATTAATGCTGTTCAGCATGAAGCCAAAAAACTTTTGTAAAGAAAAAATTTCTCAAGTCCACCAAGGGGAAACAGAATACTTGTAGCTGTAAAGAAATTCCCTTAAGAGAAAAAAACCAGACTGAACATATGGAACAAAGCAACCAGCTGAAATGCTCAGTTTAGCTTAAGTCCCATTTGATGGCTCAGATAAGTATAATTGCACCCTCTATTCCACAGCGCACTGTTATCTAAATGGCTACAGTTGCACTGCTCCACCAAATAATTGCGCGAGAACTGTGGATCCATTTGAATCAGATTTGCTCGGCCTTACAAAAAAAAAAAAGAAAAAAAAAAAGAAAAAAAAAAGAAGCTTCTTGGTAAAGTGCAGAACTTTCTGAACTAGAAAAGTAGGATTTTTTTTCTTACCAAATGGAACAGTTGGAATCTTAGCTATTGTTAACTGAAAAGAAGCTGATTACTAGAAACCAGCAAGCTTTATAGCAGATGTGTTGATATGAACTACCAGGAGGATGCCTTAGAGGCAGTAATATGTTTTTTCAGTGTGATGCAAAAATTATTTAATATTCTGCTTCTCACAAGGTGTTACATTTGACTATATGCAGGTGTAGCTCTGCTGCCAGTTCTGTGAGCCCAAACAAACTGAATATTATGACCGGTGACGGAGCAGTATGATGGTGTGTAATACTCAGTGTTTGTAAGTGCAAAATAACAAAGAAAAGGAATAAACAGCCCTAATGTAAATATACAAGGATTGGCTCTAAATTAGCTACTACTTAAGAAAGATATTAAGAGTCACAGTTCTTGAAAAAATTGTAGCTTATTAATAAACAAAAAAGTAAACAATGTTAAGACACAAAGTACTGTTATACTGCAAATCCAGTACTGCACCCTCATTTTGAATGCTACGTGCCACTCTGGGTACTCCATGTAAGAGACAATAGGGAGGGTCAGCGGTAGGTGTGATTCTGTATGAGGTGGGATGAAACAGAGCAAGGCAGATTGTAATAGAACTGACCGAAAAAGGGGTAAAATAAACATTTTCCACACAAGGGATTTATTTACAGCGTTTACTGCCATGTATGTTTTATAACCAAAGGTATACAAGAATCTTAGGGGAGATTCCAGTCCAGTGACACACAGCATCGACACGGAGCACAGTATAATTTTGCTGAAGTAAAGATGTACTAGTCATCCCAAATCTCAAAAGCACAAATATTCCTGTGTACATTACAGAGCTGTTAGAAGAATTAAATTCTTTGTCTTCCAGGAAAGCAAAGTACAGAGAAGTATTTAAGACCACAATTCCAGTGGTAAAGCCAGGATGAGAATTCAGGAATACCCACGTGTCACCTCTCTGCTCAGATCACAAATTCAGGCAGCCTCTGGATGGCAGATAGTTTTGACTTGTGCTCCTGTGATTGGACATCATGTTCTGAAAGGCTTGTCTTTTGTTTAGAAATAGTTCAGCATGACAATGGCCACAGGACAGTTTAGGTTGGAAGGGACCTCAGGAGGTCTCTAGCCCACCCTTCTCTTCAAAGCAGGGCCTGCTGTCAGGCCTGCCCAGGTTACTCTCGGCTTTACGCAGTCCAGTCTGAAAGCCTCTGAGCACAGGGGCTGCAGAACCGCTCTGGGCAGCCAGCTCCAACACCCCTGATACCCTGAGAACAAACACTTCACCTCATGGCCACTAATACATAAACTGGCAATTAAGTTTTCTTTTAGATTTTTTAAGTTACTGTCCTATGTTTAGCTCCCTCTGACCTCCTTGCAAATATCTACAAATCCAATGTTTCAAGATCAGCCATCACAATGCCATTAATTTTTCTTTCAAGGTAAAGAGTTTGCAGAAATCCAGTAAATTAACCTATTATTTGACAACAGTGCGTTGACACTGGAAGTTAGAAAGTACCCATAAATCTTACCTCATTTCCATCCAAGAAAACTTGGTCTTCATGTGGCTCAAGTTTAAATTTCCTCTTAGTTTCCTTTTTCTTGGGTGTTCCTGGGGTCTCATCCTGAGGACAAACATAAATTACATACATTTTAAAAAAAAATGTGAATTTTAATTTCTAGTATTTTAATATATTGAGTCTGATAACTTTCCACAAACTTAAAAAAAAGTATGAATGTGATCTTAAGTAAAGATGCTTTACTTCCTTCTGTTCTCATTAATTACTGACTGGGTACCTCAAAAATAAAAGGAAAATTGTGGGGAAAGAGAAGTTTTGCTTTTAGTTATTGTCCAAGGACTAGACAGTGACTTCAGGACTACGTTGTGTCTCCAAATGCATAGCAAAGCTCCACTGATAAGTCTGCACAAAGATCAAGAACAGGATACAACGCTTCATAATCACTAAGTTTAATAGAATTATTTCGTACCTTAGTGCTGTATTTACCATATGAGCATCCTTTCAGAATTAGTTTCTGCCTGTTTATTCTGTCCTCCTCAATCTCTTTCTGGATCTCGTGCTTCCTCTTCCCTGTCTCCTGTTTCCTTCTCTTTGCATACTTCTTTGCTTATTTATTTGCTTGAAATTAACTTTCTAATTTTTGTCCTGTGTTGCTGTTCAAGTTACTATCCACTGGCTTATATAATTCACTAAAATACCACTTCAATAATAATGATTAGTTTTAAAAATTAACATTACACTTAATAATGTAACTCTCCACATGACAGGGAACTGAGGAGTTCATGACTTTCATAATCAGCATTTTAAAAAGTACCTCAAGAGTTAGGTAATCTCATACTGCCTTCTGTGTTTAGACTGACAGCAGAATTGTTCTCTTTGTAATTCTTTTATTAGCTATGTAGCTTTCTTCTGAGATCAAGACCTTTGTACACGTAGACTACACCTCTCACTAAATGTGCCATTATTTCACTTAGGAGTGGCTGGATAGGAATAACTCGAGCACTCTGCTACCAACTCTCACTGGATTCATACCACTGTATATAGAAGAAAGACCACATTCCCTCATCAAGTTTCTCCTGCAGATTCCTAACATTTTAATTTAGGAATTCTGTTCTGCTAATGAAATAAATCAGGAATGAAAACATGAAAAAAACCATGAAAACTTGTACAGTAATAATAGTTTGAAGTTTAAAGAAAGTAAACCAGAAGTCTGTGAAAATGAGGCATTAGGCAGATTAGGAATAGAGCTGTCATTCCCAAGAACAGCCCTCTATTGCAGAGCTGTTTACAAGCACCAAGTATCAAATACTACATTCCAAACATTCTTATTACCAAACATTGCAAAACTGTTTTTGTTTCACATGTGCAGCTGCACCGAGATGTTAGGTCACACCATATGTGTCATTCTCTGCTAACGTACACTTGTACAAAGCGCCGTTGCCTGCTGCAGCTGAAGAGAAGTAGTTTTTGATTAACTCAGTCCACGTTAGACGACAATGAGGTACACAAAGGCCCACCTGAATCTGCTTTTTTGATCTAGATAAAAATCAGAACAACTCCAAAGTTTAAAAAATGAAATAAAAAAAAGCAGCAGCATATTTTAGAGATAAAAACAGGCAAAAACCGTACATCAGATTCTAGAATAACCAACCATATTTTTAAGGCAATGTAATCGTAACAATCAGTTAATGTATTCTCTCTTACAAGTTTGTCTCTTCTCTTCCAGATAGTACTTACCTTCTTACACTCCTCTTTTTCACCATCCTTTTTCTTCTCCTTTTCTTTCTCCTTCTTAGTTTTTTCATCTTTGCCACTTTCTTTCTTGCTCTTTTTCTCCTCTTCTTTCCCACTCTCAGCCTTTCCTTTTTCCTTTTCTTTCTTTGTATCCTTGTCAGGTTTCATTTTCATCACTTTTAATGCTCGATGAAAGAACTGTTTTTTCAGGAGTCTTAAAATGAAAAAAGTTAAACAGTACATTTAAGTGTGGCTGTGATGATAACTTTTACACTCAATTATGTTATTAGATATCATTCCAGATTATCTATCTAATAACATAAGGAATAGCATGCCTGAAAGACAGAGGTCACCATCATCCATTCTGTTTGCAAATAACTACACCAGACCTAATTAGCCGATGTCTCACCTCTTGCTTTGCTTTTTTGTTCATCTGTTCAAACCTGGTTAAAACCCATACTTTTCTGTGGCAGCATTTCACACAGACATAAATGAATACAAAATTAGTAGGAAGCCACCAGGCCAATTTAATTATCTTTCCCATTAATGCAACTCCAACCAATATTATTTTCAAGTTCATGTCAATGTATTTCATAACAAAAATAAGAAAGCGTACGTTTGGCTTTTCAAGTTCCTTGGTAAGAGGTGCACAATGAATAAAATCACCTTGTTGGGACTGCAGTACATACTGCAAGCATTCCATTCATGCCAGCTACAAACATACCTTATAGCAAGTATATCTACAGACAGCGGGGCAGGAGGAAGTAGTACTTGGTAGTCCTAAGGTTGTCACCAACAAGTAATGTCCTTGAAAGGATCATAGCCAAATTCAGAATGGGAAGAGCAGTACTGAATACTGCTCTTCAGACTGAGAGGAAGCAGCAGGGTGTGAAATCCAACACTCATTCACACCAAAAAACCTGGTCCTATGCTCCAAATCGCTTTGATTTGTCCTTGGCTTCTTTCAGCTCTTGCTGCAGACCAAATTCTTATGCTGGACTGCTTGTTGAATTAGGAGAACTCGCTAAAGAGAGAGAAGTCATTCTACCAATTAAACTGACTATCAAGTCACGTTGACTATCAAGCAAAGTTGTTTCAGGTATAAAAAACAACTTTCCTTCAGACAGTTGTTGACATGGATTCTCTTTCTAGCAACAGAAAATCACTTGCTTGGGAGAAATTACTTTTCTCTACAGCTGGAAGTTCAGGGGGCTCAGGTATCGAGCAGCCCACAGGACAGGTCTGGCCTGCAGAACAGCTCTTCACCTGCAGGAGCCACCTCTGTCTCTGATGGAATATAAAAGATGGGACTGTGCAAGACCTGCTGCTCAGAGCATGGAGCCATGGTGTCAGTAAGGCCAACAGCCAGGTCCTGAAGCACGATAGACCTTGACATAACTAATGAAGTCTGGATTGCTCGCTGATTCCCGACTTGTTAACCCTCCATAGATCTGCTGAACAAGCATTATTGATATAGCTTATTGGTGACAAAGCTCCTCAAGAGAAAACTTACTGAATTTAGATCAATATGTAGGTGTACCAGGAGACCTTACATACTGGAGCAGCATCATGAATACAGTTAGTAACTTGTTTTAAATATGCAACTGTTCAATGCAATTGACACAGAATGAAGGAACAGGATCTGATATTTGTCGTTTATTTGATAGGGCAGGTAAAACAAGCAATAGCCACACAAAGAGAGTTAAGGTACTTGTTTTTACTATGAACAAGAGCCTAAGCAGCCTTTTCTACTGAAGGGACTAGTTTTATATCGAGATAGTCCTCCATCCCTTCCAAAAGGCAAAGGAAGTAGACAGTGCTAATGTTTAAAAGTCTGAAAACAGCCTCAGTGACTAAAGGTGGCCTCAGCATTATTAGCAATATAGAAGCGAGCAAGAGAAACCACACTGCAGACGTGGTATGGTGCCAAACGGATCATCAGGGCACGAAATGATACTGGTGATAGAAGTCACTGCCAGAGAACAGAGGGTTGAACTGATTTTCTTTGTGCACTACACTGGCATTCTTTACACTGCTGCAGCTGAAGGACTCAACCAACTGTCATTTCATCTGATATTCTAGTAACTGAAGAACAAACACACAGACTCCTACCTCAGTCCAAAGACTCTGGAAGGGATTATTTTTCTGCTCGCATTAAAATAATGCTTTTTTCCTAAACTTCCTTGAAGAAATCAGCAAAAGGATTAAAGTTCAAACACAGGGTCAGCCCTCCCTCAGCCCTGGAACTGGGGGGAAGAATCTCACCTTGCTGGATGGCCAGAAAAAAAAAAAGACTAAATATTAGCCATATTCTTCACTTCTAAGTAGCTTTCACAGAGCTCTCCAAGTGTAGACAGTCCCCTTAACCCTATGCGTCTGCCGCAAATGAGGTGTAGTCAGAATACGCTATTCATCTAAACAAAACGAGTACACTAAGCAGCAGGGACATACCATTTGAGAGGCGTAAATTGAACCTCAAAGTCCAGCTTCTGCCATGATGGCAGACTAGGTGCATGGGAAGGAGAGATTTGATAGCTCTGACCCTACTAACTTAAAATAACTACACAAGTTAGGAAAATAATGTTGTTCATCTTGCTGCCCCCAAGCAGTGTAATGAAAGAATGAGAGTGTTTTGAGAACAAAGATGATAAAACTACATTCTTTCCACCCTCAAACACAGTAATACAAATACAATCATTATTTTTACATACAACCACAAATATTTTAGAATGCACAAAGCCCAAATGAAACTGGTTCCTAAGTAACTAAGACACCTTGACAACTACACTCGTTAATAAAACTGATGAATTAGGCTAGGTCATACCTGTTGCAGTAATCAACTACAGACTCTCGGGTTGTAAATAAAGCTTCTTCTCCTTTCTTTGCTTTTGCCCATTTAGAATCCAGGAGGCAATCCACAGCTTTTGAGGCTAGAGAGAAAAATGGAATTAAAAATGCATTTAAATTAATGACAGGTATTTTAACAGTTAGTCTATACTCCTTGAACCACACCAGCCAGTCAGTCAGTTCTGGTGATGTTCCACATTCTCTCTTTAAATATTTAAAGACTAGCCACTCTTCTGAAATACACCAGTCTTGACAATTATACACCTTCAAATCAAAGAGTGAAAAGTTTACTGTGTTTACGTCAGGCTGATAAGATTAATTTTATGGCTAACTAATGCCTAGGTAAGTTTTCAAAAGCAAACTGTAAGATCAGTACTTATTAGATAAAGCACTAATAATAAAAAACAAAACAGCCCCCCCTCCAGTACAATGTGAGAAAAAGAAAGTTTTATTCTCTAGTTAAAAGTAACCCTACCAATAAAATAATCAACTCGGTGGCCCATCATGTTGGTGGATTTTGTTGGACAGTTGAAACGTAAGTATTTAGCAACAGCCTTCTCCTCTTTGAATGGCTCACCGACCTCCTACAATAGTAAAAGTGCAAAATTAATACAGTTTTAAACACATGGGAAAGACACTCAAAAATCAGATATTGCAAAGTCTTCATTATTTTACCACAATATACAAATATCAAATAAAATGTAAAAGATGTGAAAATAGGTTGTCATTTTTCCCAAGAACTTTCTGTCTAAAGCAAAAAAGCATTCCTTTACAAACTCCTTTAACAGTTCTGTAAAAAGAGCAAACTAAAGGAGGAACTAAGAGTAAAGCAGTGGGCACACGGAAAGCTGGTTAAGGCGTGCAAGCTTGGATAAAAACAGTTGTGAAGCTTGAGAGCAAAGAAAAACAACAGAGTGAGGAATGAGCATGTGTGAAATGACAGCAACACAAGCATATTGACAGAATACAATGCATCTTGAATTTCATGTGAAAGAGGAGAAAACCATGTTGAAAAGAAGTTGAAAGATTTGGCTAGAAAATTTCACTACTACTACAAGACTACAAAATGACTGAAACTTCAGAGTACTATCAAGGAGATTCTTCCAACCTAGAGACTAGGAATGCCAGTATGAAGTACAGCATGATGAAGTACACAAATGTCAAAACAGATGTTTTAGGAAAAAGGAGTCCTTAGTCTGAACACATTTGTAAATTCTGTACATTTACCAACTTGCAGAGAGGCAGCAGAATTCAAAGATTTGTAAGACAGAAGGATGGAGATGGGCATTTTCAATTATGTAAGATTAAGACCTAATATTTGTAAGCAGAAAAGGAAAACCTTTCTCTTGTTCCTGCTTCACAAAAATGTTTCTGAAACAAACATTTGGCATATTACACTGACTCATGTGAACTTCCTCAAAAATTCCTTTCTGTAAGAGTGCTGTTCATCAGTAAGGCTTGATTTTCCAAATCTTCCTGCTACTCACTGATCAATAACAGAGAAACACTTGGACATCTTTTCAGACTGCCAGTACCTCCTCTGTACCTGTTCTTCTCATACTGGCCAAAGAAATAGATTACAGAAGCCACAGAACAGACCAGTGATTTACAGGAATACATAGAATTCAAAGATTCTATTTCAAGACTATGTTTTTAAAGGTCAATAAACATATACAACCTCCACTGCAGCTTTTAAGATGTATAATCATAATACTGCAAGAAGCACATTAAATGGAAATGCAAGGTCAAATAGATGTTGTTACACCAGAATAAAAACTTCAGATGGTGAGAGCTGTTAATTTTCAACAGTTTGCACAGCTAACTTTCAAAATCAACTAGTTAATGAATTATCCTTCTAGATGGGATTGTTGCTTTTCTTATCTGAGGACAATTTTAAAAAGAATACTATAGATATAAGAAATCCAAGTGACCAAAAGCCCTCTGTTAGTTCTGAGATTACTGACATTTTTTAAAGCCTAAATTCTCTATATGTATGCAGAAATATGCTCTCATACTCACCAGTTAGACAGTTTTTAATTTAAAACGTGCTTAAATTAAGCCAGATGATGCTAACAGCCCTCATATAGATCAAAAAATTCTTTCTCCATGTTCAGTCCTTCCCCGCCCCGGAATTTTAAGAACCTGTATCACTCATGGAAAACTATTTACTAACTGACAGTGCATGTATGGACATAAATGATATGCTGTGGTTTGATGTCCCCTTATATGGTACAATTGTACCAGTAATTGTAAATCACTGATGATATTCCTAAATTTGGTACCAATAGAGATTTGATTTAATAGCAATAAAATGAGCTACAATTCATTTAAAGAAAATGAGTGAATGTGCCCCATCGTTATTGTATGGCACACGCGCTAAGGTACCACAGAGAGTGATGACTACATGCAGCAATCAAGTTTCAAAATAATGCTTTTCTAATATTTCCTACCAGTAAATTAAACTTAGAACAACAACTCACAGGCCAAATGTTCTTCTTGACAGCACAGACCATAAAACAGTCGGAGAAGCTACAGATATTTACATCGATGTTAGTTTTTCTACTAGGATTTTTTGTCTTCCTGAAATATTTAGGATCCTGATCAGTCATATGATGTGCTATACAGGCAGTGCCTGGCACCAGGAGATTTTTTTTTAGATTGCTCCTTACTGTCTTTTGCTTTGTCCTTTTCTGTGGGTATTTCCCTGTGAGAAAGACTGCCACAGTTTACCTGAGCTCATTCTGAGGAAGTTTCCCCTGCAATTTAATCCCAAATTTTCATCCCATTTTCATCTCTTTATTTGCAGAGCCAGACTTCTGTTAAAATATTAAAACAGATGACTGACAAGATATTATTACATTTCATCATAAAGTGAAATTAACAAAAGCACTGAAAATTTCAGTATCCTAGGCACAAGTTTTCACAGATGTAGTTCAACTGATCTTTATGTTCAGTTGTAAAAATAGCCAAACTCCAGGCATTTTAAGCCTCCTTATACATTTAGAAAAAGATTATACAAATGAATCAAGGGTTAGTTCTCAATAAATTATAAAGCTTTAAAACAGACGACACAGCCTTAAAAAGCATATGAAAACTTTCTGATATTTAAAGTTTGCTTTCATAGGAAAGACAGATTCAAGAAACATCTCAGGCAATATATTTCTGGAATGCTGTAAAATGTCTTCTTAATTAAAATTCTATGGCTAAACTGTTTTCAATTAATAAAAAATAGGATGGTGTCAAGCTCCCAAAAGCTTCTGCTCTAGATTATGTTTCAGAACCTTGCATCTACTTCAATTTTATATATTGAAAAATGCACGTTGTCACTAGACAGCAGGTTAAATTCAGAGATTTATGACCTCTGATAATTTACAAACTCCAAGAATGCCATTAAAAATAAAAAAATCAAACCCAATTTCTTATTTATCTAGACAGAAGAACTCCATCTACATCAAGACAGGAAAAGCAGTGCTCAGCCTACCTACTTACTAGAAATGCACTAATATTGTAAATTTTTTAAGAATAATTCTTAAGCATTCCTATCAAAATTCTGCCCTCTATGAATTCATAAAATGATGCTGAGATTTTCAAACCCAAGGACCTTCCAGACCCACTGAAGTGAAAGGAAAACCCTAATGAAATGCACTTCTTACCATTATCTCCCAAATCAACGTACAGCACAATGCACTCTGAACTTCCTTCAATACACTGGTATAGTTCCCAGTTAATTCAACCTGCAACTGGGACTGCAGCAGCAGAGAGGCCTGTACACATTAAAAATACAAACATCTGAACTGAGCTACTAAAACTAGTGTGTCCATGAGCTTCCTTCTCCCTCTCATGTCTACCTAAGTATGACTTATTCAGGTTCTCTTACTCCTTATATCAAAAGACCAGACCATATTTGTCTGTCATTCATTTTTTTCCCCCTTTGCATCACAGTTGTGAGAAGACAGCCACGACCCAAGACAGGATGATTTCCTTCCACAACATTGTAATGTAAACACGGTTTCTGGAAAACCAGAACTGAGTAAATGATGACTATCACTAACAAGTTATTTCATGTGCAGACAAAGACATTACAAGGATTTATGTTCCTCTGTTTATTTCAATAAAATGAATATGTAGTTTATTTCTTTGTTCCTGTATCTGAGAACTTAGATTTTTCAGAACACCATCCCTCACAGAAGATTTCCACAGCCTAATAGTCTATACAGTTTTCAGATATGGAAAAGAAGAAATTTAAGCCCATTTGTTATGTGCAGCCTTTCTCAAGCCAAGAGGCTCCATCAAAAATGACACTATGTCAACCCATGTTCTATTCCTCATACCTCTCCTCATATTATAAGGACACTACAACTGCATTAGTGTTATCTTCTCTGAAGATGCTCTGAGCACATCAAAGCTCAGGCTGAACTGCAAGATTATCCTTTTCCCTTTTGACTCTCAGAACCTTAGATGACAAGATGTTCTGTGGCAGGAGAGTGGGTACTTCTGAAACATTTATACTTTGCCTAAATAAATCAAGGTGCAGTAGGACAGAGAAAAAGCACACAGATTAGCGTAACTCAATAGATCACTGCGTGGGACTGGGTAGGGGGGAAAACATGTTAGGGTCTTAGGACTTGCTTTTAGGACTCTATCTGTATTTCCTTCCATAACTAATAAACATAAAATTGTCTAACTCCTGCACTGATGGCCAGTACATGGATTGCCTGAGGTCTCTTAAAAGAAACTGTGGCAGAGCCATGCAGAGAAACCAGTTCTTCTACATTACCATGGCTGTGTGCTAGCCACAAGACATTAACTTTTCTTTACAGAAAAAAATTAACAGGGTTTTTTTTGTTCTATACCTATCCTATGAAAACAGAAGTACTTGTTTTCTTCCTTCTTTCTTTTCAGCCATTACTAATTTTTTGAGCAAAACATACAGAGTTCTAAAACACATGTCAAAGGAGCAATGTCCTTTGAAGCCAAAACACACCAGCTTCAGTCCTCTTCTAACTCTAAGCCACTTGTTTTGACTTTTTCCCTTCCCATCTCCAAAAATGTAACTCAGATTTTCAAAAGACAGTGATCCTTATTTTAATGACAAGTGGGGCTGCTACTTTTATTTCCTATTTTTCTGCATCCCCACCCCCCCAATATTTGTTTCTTCCTTCTCTATCACCTGATACCACTCGCTTTCAAGTAAGTTATTTAGCCATTCTCCTTTGTTATTACCCCATTCAGCTTTACTAGAATTTATGAGAAAATAAAGACAAACAGACAAGCTGGATTAAAATGTGTTATTGGAAAACCACTGCATTGTCATTTCTGAAGATCCTTTCCATACTCATTCATACAAAGCTGTAGCACAGGAAGCAGCAATGCAGCTGTTGCACATTTTACTTCCAGCAGAGCCCAAATCAAGACACGACACAACTGTAGGCTACAAGAGTTAATACTGATAAGACATCCTTCATCAAGAGAATCTCAAAGCTTGAATACAGTGATTCAAGAGGAAAAAAAGTCAACAAGGAAAGTAGGACCATTAATGGCATTGATGCCACCTCAGCCATCAATTTGCTGTGAGACATTCCCCAAGAACTGCCTAAGAACTGTTTTCTCTATTCCTGACTCTATTCAAGAGCAGTATTTATATGCATTAACATTTCTAGAGCAGAGGACACAGCACTAAGGTGCTAGGCAAGTGCTATTAATCACAATGCAAAGATAAACAAAACTTCACATGGCAGAATAAAACCGTGCACAATGGAATCTGGCCAACGTAATTAAAACTTAATACCTACTTAACAGTCAAATTGCAGACCTGCCAACAAAGTGCCACGTGTTACCCAGCTGAATGCTTGTCAAAGTAACAAACTCTAAAGATTTTGTGCTTAAGTGAATATTTCAGGATATGTATGGAACCATATTTTTTTCCAAGAAATGAAATAGCTTTGATCAGGTCACTGGAGTAACGTGCATTCAAAGACATCTATCTTTGGAGATGTATCTGTCTAAAGAAAAAATATTAAACTAGCCATTAGACAACATGTGTTGTTTTTCTTTTGACAAGTCCTTCATATGCAGCAGGCATTCTGGATTTCAGAAATTTGAATCATGTGGGAACCCACTGGCTCAAGCAATCTGCATCCTACAGACCAGTCTCTTTTCACTACTGCCATGTCTGAAGTAATCTTCACGTTAATTATAGTTAAATTACTGTCAGGAATGACACTTTGACAACTTTACCTCTAAAATGTCTTTATTCAAACTTCTGAAGTTAAGATTTTTGCAACTTCCACAGCTTTCAGCTGTTGCCAAAAGAGTCTAAGCTATGCAATACAGATTGGGCAATATGTCTTTTTATGAAAATTCATTCTACAAAACACATCCTTCCTGTTATCAGTGATGGAAAACAGGCTTGACAGAACTTTGAACTATTTTATTGAAACATTTTTTCATGTCTCATCTCAAGTGTAGCTAGCTGACCTAACTACCGTGATTCCAATCTTGATGTCAGATATTAAATCTTATAAAAATTATTCAGAACCCAGGCTCTGTACACATAGTATTTGTAACTGAACTCTATTACATCAGCTTCTTCCACAGCTAAATACACTGTCTCCTAAGAACCTTACTCTTGCCAAGAAATACAGCTCTGCTTAATGACAATGGGGTATTCCAATGTCACACTTGCACACAGTATGAGTCTCTTTATTAAGGGGTACACATCACCCTAAAATAAGTACACACTTCTAAAGCACCTGAAACACCCACAAATAAAAATCCCACACTTCATTTTAAAAGAAGCAACTTGCAGCATTATCCTGAAGCATGATAATCATACTGCAACTATGCCAATGAAGTTCAGAAAGCTTAAAAAAAACCAAAACCAACTACCAAGAAAAATACATGTTGTTTTATTCACTGACCAATTAGGAACACCCTTTGGGCATTCAACAGTATTCTTTGTTCACTGTCTTGTCTTGCCATTGTTGTTGAAATACACTGGGAAACTAATAAGATGCGATACACATTTATCAGCATAACTACATCACAAATTTAGGCCACAATCTTAAACCTTAAGTGTTAACACCCAGACATCAATTTAATTACTAACAATCCGGGAAATTCTTTTACTGCTAACAGTCTGGAAATTAAGCGTGTGCTTAAGTGCCTGCGAGACCACAGCCTTGGGTATTATACAAAACATTAAATTGCATTTAATTTGGTTTTGATGGATGCTTTATTGAGCTGTTGTCATCCTTGGTAAGGGACAGTCTATAACGATTATAAAAAGAGAATCATTCCATAATGTTTTATGATAATTCATTGAATGCCTGTGATTTATAAGGCTTGCTTAACAATATTTTGATTAATTACTCTTTGCATTTCTCCCTCCTCCCCCCCCAGTAATTTGAGTTAAAGGGAAAAAATGAACCATTGCAAGTACAGGCACATCTCCACCTTTTTGAGGGAAGGGAAAGTGGGCTGAGAAGGGAAAGGATGAGAAAGGCGAGAGGGCAACCAAGCAGAAGGATGACATATGAAGCGTACATTGCTGAATGGCTCTATGCTTTCTCCTGTGAATATTATCTCCACTTACAGCAGAGCAATAAATCCCAAACACTATTTAGGTTTAGTGTTAATAATACATAACAGCATCAGGCATTATAGTAACTGACGCTGTAACTATGCCCAGAACAGGCATTAAAAACTCTGTAAAACTCACTGTTATGGACTAAGTCCAGACTTCCAGGGAAGTGAGAACACCTAAGTAGCCTTCACTTTGCCTTTAAGTGACACCATATATTTATCGCTACATTTTAAACATGATCTCAAAGTTGATTAGGTCTATTTTTAGATGTGGTAGTTTGTTTATGTTTTCTAAAAACCATTTTCCTTTCCTTACCACACCATTTCCTGGCTGGGGCACGTTTGTTCTTAAGGTGCTTATACCATCTGTCCCATGTCTTTTGCTCACAAATCAGTGGAACAGACACGCTGGGTGTCAGCTCTTGACTACGGCGGCTGCTCGCCTCGGTACTCTGATGTTGTTACACCACACTAAGCTATTGTTTGACACTGGTAACGGGTGAGATCCTAACTATAATACGGCGATTAAATGCAGGTAACAACTGGAAATCTCACCCTCTGGTCATGGCGAAAAAAGATGCACTTTTGAGGGCGCAGAGCCCATGAGGGCAGAGCCGCCAGACCCTCGGATAAACGGGAGCCGGGGCTAACAGCTGGCCCGGGCTAACGGATGGGCCGGGATACCCG